ATTAATACAGTGACCTATTACAGTAATTTGGCAGTTTGATTGCTTGAATTAAAAGCAAAAAGTCTTGTACTCACAGGACTCAATAGAAAGAAATGTTTCTTAACATCAATTAAAGATAGTTTGAAGCATATTCATACCATTGGATTATCAACTATATTTACATAAAACAATAGCAATTACGTTACTATATTGCCTGCGAATATAAAGTTACAATTGTTCTCTAGCTTCTAATAGATTTTGATCATGATGTGATTCCATGGAACTATAAAATAATACATGATATGTTGTATGTAAATAAATATACACATACTAAGAAGTAAGAATAATTTTTGTTTTGGTTCATTCCATGTTTTATATTGACTACTTTTGCCATAATTGATAAACTGTGACTAAAATGTTTTTCAATGTTGCCGTCTTTCACAAATACATTTACAAGTTTGCCATGAAGCAATGGCGATACTAGCTCAAAATGTCTTATTTGGAATTGGTGGAACTATATTTATATATTAATATGCATCAAAATCTTAGTTCCACACACAACATGATATATTTAACAGCAAAATATTGAAAAATCGCAATGGTTTGTCGATAGTTGTCATATGGCCGCCCTTCATACGGGTCGACAAATATTGATATTTTCAGAAAAAATAATTAAATTTTGCCTACCCGTTATTCACAATATGAAACTCAAATAAACTGGCATCGTTGACAACAAGTTCCACACTTAGAAACCCAAAATTGACTGCATAAAAGAGGATTTATGGTCAACTTTGTCCATTTCCGCAATACAAAATATACAAATTATCACGCTCCGTGGGAACGACCAATATGGCCGCCACGCGTAAAATGCGACTGCGATCAGGCTTCAATTTTCGCCCGGCTACAGGGTGGGATGCGCTATCTAGTGTATATGAGATATCTATGCATTCAATTAAGTGCCGATATTATTTAGACGGTATATTCATTATACAGAGCTAGGAAGGAGCTAGACAGTGCTTTTTTTCAAGAGTAAATATTGAGTCGAAAATCTTTGAGATTCTAGGCATTCGATTGAGTGCCGATATTATTTTCACGGTATACTCGTTATGCAGAGGTAGGAAGGAGCGAGACAGAGGCAGGTGTAAAAGTCGGACCGGATCGCCAGTCCGGGTCGGATTAGGTCGGACCAAGTCGGATCAGGTCGGATCTTTAGAAAATTTAGAAATATCAGGATATTCCGGGAAATGTTACTTACACAAATGGAAGTTTGCATCTTTCCCGCGTTATTTACACAGCGTGGCAAATCGGAAAAATGGATAGAACAGGTTAGGGGCACTTTAAAAGCCTTTACTTGTGTTGGGGAAAATGTTATGGAAAGACGGTGAATTATACTTTAAGCTTTGCTTTATATTAGTCGAGTCCCATTGTTTAACGTCTACGCGTCATTAGCTGAATTCATATTAGAAGACAAATTTCCGTCCAAGACGGGAAACTCTTCCAGACCAGAAACTCGTCTTGGTATAAATCCGGTTAACGACGGGTTCTCCGCGTTTCAAATTTTCCGTCTGACGAGTTTCTCGTCTTAGACGGAAATCCGTCTTAAATTTATATAAGACGAATAAATTAAGACGGGTTTCTGCTCGTAACGTTCAAAAGAAACTTGGATGGTGAGGGTCTCCTATTTTTTCGAGTTTATCCGGCCGTCCGATAGTTTTCGTTTCATACTTATACCAGACGGAATCCAGCTATTGCCATGGCTATTTTAAAATTTTGTGATAATAAAGCTGCATATAAGTATAATGTCTAATGAAAACAATAGTGTAGATGTTTCTGATCAGAGTTCTGCATCTTCAAATTTCACATGTGAAGCGTGTATTTTCGTTTTGGCAATTTGGCACGGCCGGACTAGCGATTCGGTCATCAATGCGATCCAGTCCGACTTTTACACCTGCACGATCCGACCTAATCCGACGCGGACTGGCGATCCGGTCCGACTTTTATACCTGCACGATCCGACCTAATCCGACCCGGACTGGCGATCCAGTCCGACTTTTACACCTGCACGATCCGACCTAATCCGACCCGGACTGGCGATCCGGTCCGACTTTTACACCTGCCTGCGAGACAGTGTTGTTTTCAAATATATAAACATTTCAGACATGCATATAAACATTTCAGACCACAGGCGGCCCAATCTCTGAACGTCCTATATATTTTGAATATTTAACCGTTATAATATTTTAAAATAACAAAATAATTCCAAAAATATTAACAATATATGTAAAAAATATATCTCATTTGTTAATAGAATCCATTTGTTGTGTTTCTGAGTCTAGTTGATGCGATTGCTTTACGTTTTCGTCGTACTTGAACGGTCGTCAGTACTATGGCACTGGACGACATGGCCGTAGAGGACATAAATAACTACAAGGCTAGCCACTTATCTGATATACTCTCCGACATCGAGTCCAATATCTCGCCTCAGAATCGTCGCAGAGCAATAAATTTCACATCGTCTAATAGCACGAACGTTCCTCTTTCGAAAGAACTTGGTTTCTTCACCATTGCGGCAATTCCCGCGACACACGACGAACTTTGTTTGTCAAAAGTCCAAATTTCCATTTTCGAAAGAGGCGCTAACCCCATGATTGTAACCTGAGTATCAGGCTCTATTAGTGGGCCGGTGTCCCAGGATTTTCGCCCCCCCCCTACATTTTCTCCCCGGGGGCGAAATTCCTAGGAATATCGCCCCCCCCCCCGGGGGGGCGAAAATCCTAGGAATTTCGCCCTCCTTTAGGAAATTCGCCCCCTTTAGAAACTTCACCTTTTCTTTAGGATTTTCGTCCTCCGTTCAAAATTTCGCCCTTCCTAACAGTTGCATGGGATAATTATTACATGACATTAATCATTTGAAATCAGTATCAATTCAAAATTGTTAAGACAGAGCTTGAAATAACCGATCACCGATCGGCAAGGAATTGCTTATGATCGGCGGAAAAGCAGGGTTTCGGTTTCCAACCTGAAAAAAGCAGGGAAAGTCACGACTGCCGATCACCATGATCGGGAACTTTGGGAACGTTATTTCAAGCCCTGCATGTAAGAATACAAATTTACAATTGCATGTATCGAAAGGGCTTCACACAGCTACAGTAGATCAATACTCAATAGGACTTATGACGCTTCACAGCACACCATGCATATTTTGCATTTTCAGTGTTAATCCTTGAACTCATTGTTAAAAAGTAATCACCGTGGTGGTTATTGTAATTATTGGTATTGTTTTGCATTCACGTTTTGTCGTTATCGGAAAATGTATGGTTTGTCACTATTTTTTACTTGCATTATTTCAATATACTGTAGTTTGTAAATCTCAGAAGCGAAGGGTAGAACTTGCCAATAGGCAATAATCCAATAATATACGTTTCAAAAAAGACAAGAAAGCTTTTAGTTTTGCAGAGTTACATTCTCAAATGTTTAAGGCATGCACTAATAAAATCAAAGTATCATGAAATTATTTGAATAAACCACACCACATATATAATGCAATTTTCTTTGCGGAAGTGAAGAATCAAGATTACATCACTGACACGGAAAGTTGACGATTCAACGGACAATAGTCAATACGCTTCCCAACACATTCCATAGATTTTTTACTAATCCTATAGTTTATTGTTAGCAAGTGATTACTGTGGCGGCTATTGTTAACACTCGTATTGATAAAATTTGCAAGCGATTGTTTTTATAATATGTTATGTGAATGTAACTGCCAGAAGAATACGACAACATGATTTTATGAGATCTCTGTGGGCAATGGTTCCACTTTAGATGTGTAGAATATGACACTAGTCTAAGTACCTCAAATGAGTGGTTATGCAGACTGTGCACACCACCAGCTGCTAAGAAGCCTAAAATGTGTATGTAATTTTGTCTCCTTGTAATAAATAAATAAATCACACAATAAATCTTTTCAACTTGCAATCGTTTTGTTTTTAGATCAAAAATTCAAAATTTATATGGGGGGGCGAAATTCCTAAAGGGGGGCGATATTCCTAGGAGATTCGCCCCGGGGGGGCGAATATCCTAGGAATATCGCCCCGCTTTTGAGAGGGGGGGGGCGAATCTCCTGGGGGCGAATCTTCTGTGACACCGGCACTTTGCACCTACCAAAACCTTATAAAAACTTCCGGTTGTACTAGCCAGGATGGCGTGAGCGAGTTAAAATTTTCGTGGACGTAAAACAATAAGGGAACCGACTCGAGTTACGCTTCTGCTGTACCTTCTTATTCTTGTGATAGTACTATACGTTGGAAATCACGAGGCCCCAATGTCATATTATGTTCCGCTTCGTCCCCCCCCCCCCAATATAACGTACGTACGTTCGTACGTACGTTCGTACGTACGTAAGTACTATTGGCTACGTTACACATGTACCGGATACGTTTCCGTAGCGATGTGAAAGGTTACCTATCCGTACCTTCTAGGAGCGCGAATTTGAGCTAAAACATTTGCTTCTTTGCTTGTGGGATGTAAAAGCTTGTTGCACATGCGCACTTTTTACGCTTTAATCGGTTACGCATGAGCAATCTATCATTTAACGTACCACAACAAAAACGCTAAATATATTAGTATAAAATCGGTCACTGCACGTGCGTAATTTAAATGATGCAACAACTCAGGGATCGGATGATAGACTATTGACGGCTCTGAGCTAACTGTTGCTGTTCCTTGCACGATTATGTGCGTGAGGCACTTGCCTAATGCGTAGTCGGCAGGGAGACAAAGGGTGTACAGCGGGCGATTAGTAAGTAATCGTCCCTGTTGAAACAAAAGAAACCCGGGCAACTATGCTATTATACTATATATCAAAGTTATCAAACTTAGCGTATAGAATTACTTGTAGTTGGCACAACTCAGACATATTCCAAACAGCATATGAGCGACACCAAGAATAACAGACATCTTCATTTTCATGGAGTTCGTGAAACTGATCTTGTTCTCTGCTATTTGCCATATCTAAGAATGTAAAATGATCACACCGTGTAAGACCGTAGTTGCTCTTTGTCATGTACCTACCCATAACGAGAGCAGTTAGGAACTTCACTGCAATGGCAGGCATAAAGAATTTATTACGGTGGCGAACCCAGTCCGACAATTTGGTCATGCTATGCAAATTTTAAATCATTATCATTATTCATTTCTTTACAAATTGATTGTTTTCATGGTGTATGAACAGGATATTTGCATAGCATGACCAAATTGTCGGGCTTGCTTCGCCACTGGAATTTAACTATACACATATCACTGGGATCCTTTTCGCCATGCACTATTCCGATCTGGATGCTTTGCGTGTTTTACAGTAACCACAGAAATTAGTTTTTAAATGATGGAAATGGTTCTCAAACAGTTTTGTTTGGGCTTCTACAGTGTCGCAGTTTTACGCGAGCGGAGCCTACGTGATTTTCAAAGCAGAGTTAAGGCTGCATTCCAGTTACCGCACGTAAAAGTTGAATTCGCTTTACATCCTACTTATGAAATAATTAAATTTATAAAAGGACAGCATTCAGTTTTGTGTATGATTTAATGTGTACTTGTTAAGGTTATTTGCACTTATATCAAATTTTAAGCGAATTCAACTTTTACGTGCGTGTACGCACGTATGAAAAACGCGTAACTGGAATGCAGCCTTAACGCTCGACCTGACGGTTGCATGTTTGTATAATTGTTCTTTTACAATACGATAATCATCGGCAAGAATCATCACTCATTTTTCAGTTAGACATGTGCTTCACAACGTGTTCACAATCTTTGAAAATGGCACGGATTTGCCCAGCAAATAATTCACTTTATTCAGTAATTTTAATCAAAATCACCAATTTTAAGGAAATGAATTCCAGGACTTTCAGGGACTTCCACTGATTTTCAAGGACTTCCAAGTCCTGGAATATTTTTCCAATTCAAGGACTTTCCAGGATTTTCAAGGCACGTGGACACCCTGTGAAATTGGGACCACGTCGTTGTGTTTCCCTCGTCGTCTTTTTCTAAATCTGTCTCATTAATGCCCTTGCTTGCGAGGTTGTAATGGACCTTTCCCCTTATAACTAAAATTTTGATCTGGACAAGTCTAGACAAAAATTTCATCACAGCTTGAAAGAGCATCACAAAATTAGTAATATTCCGAAGTTTCGTTGCGAAATGTTGTAAAATGCGGATAATATAGCCCTGCGAAATTTTCAATTTTCAGTCATTTTGTATTACAAACGGGAAATTGATGCCCCAACACCCGATTGGGCTGTCAATTTCCCATGCGTAATACAAAATGACTGAAAAACGGCAAACCTCGCAAGGCTATATTATCCGCATTTTACAACATTTCGCAACGAAACTTTGGAATATTACTAATTTTGTGATGCTCTTTCAAGCTGTGATGAAATTTTTGTCTAGATCAAAATTTTAGTTATAAGGGGAAAGGTCCATTAATATATATTGACGTAATTCCTTCCAGAATCATGATCGTTTTAAAAATTGACATAACGCGCACATCATAAAAGTTACAACATTTATAGCATATAAATAAAACATCTTCAACATACCGGATCAATTCCAAAGTAATAAGGTATTCCACGATAGTACTCTGGACTGGATTCTGCTGGTATCAGCATCGTAGTACTGACACCTTTCGGAAAACTGTGAAAAATTACATCAAATGTTACTTTTATCATTTACAGACCCTCCGCTTGGGGGATTCGGCGAAATATCACCTGAAGTGATATTTCCCGTGGGGATTTGCCCCGAGGGAAATATCATCACTGAGGGAAATATTACGCCGAATTACTGCTTAGCTTTCTGATTGGACACTTTGAATTTGAGGTGTAACATTTAACACATATTGACTGGGACCGAGAGAAACATTAATTGGCAGTCGAGAATCCACAACTGTTTTCCGAAAGTCACAGTCAATAAGTATTATTATTGTATGCGCAGAGTGGAGTGAAAACAATGAAAAAGATATCAACAAAATTTACAATGCTATCAGCCAATGTCATATAGAGGCTGGTTTTCATTAGTTGGCGACGCTCGCCGATATTGATTATGACAGTCGGCGAGCATCACAGGCCAGTGTTCATACAGGTCAGGAATTCGATTCAAGGACTTTCAAGACCATGAGAGAAACATTAATTAGCAGTTGAGGGTCCACAACTGTTTTCTGAAAATCCCAGTCAATAAGTATTATTATTATATGGCAAGCATTTGTTTTGATGAATCGCGCAATTTGATTGGCTGCTTGACGAGGCAGGAATTTCCCGTACTGCCCACGGGCAATACGCAATTTTTTTGCCCTGCGACAAGAGCCGAGTTTCAAACGGCAAAAAGTGTCTAAAAGTCTTTCAAAACTATTCAAAACGAAGAAAAATAAACCTAAACTAGAAAGGGAGCACCTTCTTCGGTTAAAGAACTTTCTCAATATGTTTTTGTTAACGAAAGTCGAAATTACAAGGTAAATTTTACAATGTTTATAACTATTAAAGAAGTCAGGAATAGCTGTGTTTTGACTTTGTGAACAGCTGCAAATCTTATTTGCAGATAGCCGAGGAATTTGACACCATCATAAATAAAAAATACAACTAAAGCAGCCACAGACTTATATTTTTCCCTGAAAATTTCTGGGTTTTTTCGATAAAAAGAGATATATTTATGAGATGAAGCGAACTAAAAACGTACTTGTCCATACTGTTTATTAATTTTATTGTTTCCATATTTGTTGTCTTTGTCTTTGATTAAATGACGAAATACCTTGTATTTTTCTTGAAATACTATCCAAACTGTGTTAGTATTCTATATAAAAAGTGCTGTGGAGTAGTTTTACTAACCAAGCTTGAGAACATTTTTTACAATTGTTCTTTTTTGCAAATGTTTCGGACTTTGTACTTTGCCCTCGCGTGACCTTTTTCCCCATTTTTTACAAACGTACAATGCCGTATAATAAAAAACTTACTGACCTCAACCGTTCGGGCAGTACGGGAAAATATCCAACCTCGGTCTTGCTGTATTGACCTCGCTATCGCTACAGCAAGACCTCGGTTGGATATTTTCCCGTACTGCCTTCACTCTCAGTCAGTAAGTTATTATTATTGTATACGCAGAGTGGAGTGAAAACAATGAAAAAAGATATCAACAAAATTTACAATGCTATCAGCCAATGGCATATAGAGGCTGGTTTTCATTAGTTGGCGACACTCGCCGATATTGATTATAACAGTCGGCGAGCATCACAGGCCAGTGTTCATACAGGTCAGGAATTCGATTCAAGGACTTTCAAGACCATGAGAGAAACATGAATTAGCAGTTGAGGGTCCACAACTGTTTTCTGAAAGTCCCAGTCAATAAGTATTATTATTGTATACACAGAGTGGCAAAGGTGACGGCACTTGGTAAGTAATGTTGCTACAGGTTGCTATATAGGTGACGGATGAGGTTTTCAAGATGGCGGCTACTTTTCAAGATCGTTCAAGCGCCAAAGAATCGATAACCATGCATTTATAACAATCCCAAATGTTACCCTGAACCTAATACCCTAAACCCAACATGAATCCACAACATGAATCTTAAACTAGAAATACATGTATGCAGCAACCCCTCGCTAAATTTTCCAAACATTGATTTAACATGAAGTATTCGTAATTGACCAACACTGAGCACAGGTTCGCGTTGTGGAGTCACGTGTTCCCATGACAACACGATTTTTTTTTAAAATTCTTAATTTTTTATGTTTTTTGTACAAAATGGTAAAATAGTTGAAAGATTAACCATACATTTTCCGAAATATATATTGCAAGTATGTTATCTTGCATTTAGTGAGCTTTGATTTACTGTAATATAAAATTTAATCTGAAACGTTTCCTAAAATGTTTTGAAATGCAGATAAACTGTTTTTACTTAATCAAACTGTTGAGTACTTTCAGTTCGGTTTTCAAATTAATTTGCTCCCTTTTACATTTTAAGTTGTTTTCTTAAATTAAACAGGGTAATTAATTTAGAAAACGTACAGCTTAAAAAAAACAGTGCAAATTCTATGTGACAATTGAAGCAACAAAATTCATAAACAGTAAACATTCAACCATAGTAAATCAATTCTTCTCATTTCTTCAAACAAAACATTCTTCAAAGCTCGTTGTATATTAAACAATTTTCCAAATACATGTTTCCGAAAGTTGAAATCTTACTTATCTGACTCCTGGTAAGCAGCCATATTTTTGAGATCAGTGAAGAGGTCCACCCATACACCCATGACACGACTTTAGACTTTGCTAATGCTTTCCTTTCCCCGGGTGCAAACAGCCGGGCGGAATTAGTACCCTCGCTTCGGGCTTACACCTGGAACACCGTTGGCTTCGGGATTAAAGCGTTGTGTTTGAACTATACTTGAAAACCTCCCTTACGTATAAAACACTGAGATCCTGGGTGTGATAAAATACTGCATGATTTTCCCATGCGTTGGCTATAAAGTCCAGACACACCAGACGCGATTTTTCGACGCGATTTTTCGATTTTCACTGACCGATAACTTCGATCCTAGGCCAAAAAAAAATATGTGGGTTTCCGGTTTCTTCTTATAAAAACTTAGGTAGGGTAGGTCGGTTTTAACTTTTTTTTTTAAACTTTTTTTTTTAACTTTCCGAACAAGCGGACGCCATTTTGTTTAGTCAGTGCTTCCACATCCAAAGATAAATTTCCCTAATATTGCCTCAAATTTCAATTTTCCACAAACTTTTTCCTCTAAGTGGAAACACTTACAAGCATGATCCAATAAAAAAGTTTAGGGTCGGGATTTCGACGTCCAAAAGCTAGGTAGGGTCGGGAAACCGGAAACCCACATATTTTTTTTTTGCCCTATAGTTTGAATTTTCCAAATATTTAGACGCCTATAACATTTTGAGTTATTTGGTCAACATATCTTTCAAAATTTGCTCTCTTTGCCTCTTTGGCTGTTTTATTAACTTTCAAAAACTAAAAAATCGCGCCTGGATAAAGTCGGAAATTGCACTTTAGTCAGAAATATTTGTTACATGTGCGATTATACGTCAAATACATGTTACATGTGCGATTTTTCATTCATACTTCTCAAACCGTGTAATATTTCCTATATTTCGACTTTTTGAAAATTTCATCGACGCAAATAAAGCAAAGAAAAAATTTTAACTTACGTTTGATTTTTGGGTATATGCCATGCACTGCCAAAAATGTTGAATGATTTCGAGAAGCAATCATTGTAGATCAAGCCAGTATATATGGCAAACGCACCCATCAACAATACAATATAACGACCAGCGAACACACTCTCAAATATCTAAAAAATATAGTAGAGCATGAGACATACAGTATACTAAATATATACTAAACATTCTTCGCAACTGCTCCATGTATAAAATTCACACTCTAAAATTCCATCTACAAAACTCTTCTACAATAGACATGCAATAGACCCATTGCACATGACGTCACAGCGCCGGTGACGATGCATCTGGAGGACAAATTAGCAATCTATGTATAATATAACTTTTGTAAACAATGCAAATTTTGTAAAACTTTATAATAATTACTCGCTGGGGCACTCTGTGCCCCAGACGAGTATAGGTTTCGGCATGCATTTGTCACGGATCTCGGATAGTGGATAGTGGATCTCCAATCGTCGATAGCCACAAAATTGAATATTAATGAGCTGCCTAATTTTCCCCCCAATTATCCATAAGACTCTTGCCAATTTTACCCAAATTATCCATAAATAACCCTGCATTTTGAGGAAAATTTGGGAAAATTGAACAATTTTACAAGGAATTTCGCACGAAAACAGCAACTTTCGCAAATCGCAAGTTTATACGTTTGGCTGCGCTGTTTTAATATATTTTGAGAAGAAAGCGACAACGTTCGATTCAGCGTAAGAAATTGTACTCACGGATGTCAAATGTATTACTAAACAGCAGTATTCTAGCGATTTATGGCCTTTGAAAATCAAGCAAAATTGGTCAAATTAAATAAATTGTTGACAAGCCACTCACACTACCTTTGTCCTTGTATTTGTAATGCCTCATGGCGCAATAACGATAAAAATATCACCGTTCGATTCAGGGTAAAAAATTGTACTAAACAATAGTATTCTAGCGATTTATGGTCTTTGTCTTTGAAAGACAAGCGAAATTGTATTGTTAACAAATCGCTCATACGGATGTCAAATGTATTACTAAACAACAGTAATCTACCGATTTATGGCTGTCTTTGAAAGCCAAGCGAAATTGTATTGTTGATAATTTTGGTATCATTGGTTTTCTCTTTTTCGGCCGTATAACAGTGGATCCGTCTTACTTCTCTCTTCATTTTGACAGTATTTTGAGCCCAATAGCCCCCAAATTAGTTTATTTTGAACGTTTTAAAGCGCAGTGAGCAGCCTAGCGTACGGACCAACTAGTGGCGGCTATGTATAGCGTACTAAATATAACTTTACTTGTAGGGCCTACCGCATTTTAGTACTGTGTTAAGCCTTTAAAATTGCGCTCGTATTCAACTATTCCTCTTAGTAATGTGCGTATTTGTATGACTTGTATAGCCCCAGCGAGTTAACGCTCCGCAGAGCGTCTTGTTTTGTATTAAAATGGTTAATTTTTGCGCTGTATGTGGTTGTTGTACCCGAACAGATATTGTTAGGGAGCATCTGGATGACACTCTAAGGATTTGTGACGTCAGTGCAATGGGTCTATTCCAGCTATAGACTAAATTTTGATCTAGGCAACTAAGGCAAGAAGCTAGAAAGGCATGTTAAAATTAATAAAAGTGCAAAGTTTAGCCGCGAAATGGTTTAAAATGCGGAAAATATAGCCCTGTGAAACAAATTAATACAAAATTTGCAAATTTCGTAGGGCTATATTTTCCTCATTTTACAAGACTTCGCAATTTTACTAATTTTAACATGCTCTTTCTAGCTGTGGTGATGGATTTTGTTGTTCTTGCCTAGATCAAAATTTAGTCTACAGCTGGAATTTCCCATTAGTTCGAGTGTAGATGCCCAAAATCCTGATATTTCCCCGTACACCTTACAATGACATCACCTTACTATCTATACATGAACTTGCAGGGTGTTAGCTACAGTCAAAAATTCCGCGTTAAACGCGATTTTCCCAATTACCTTGAGGTCGCAATTTCCCAATTTGGGTCAGCCAAAAAATAGGTATAGAAATTCAATGTTGTTAATACGCCATTAAAAACATTTTTTATAACTACATTTGCTCAAAATTACTCCCAAAATGCGGGAAATGCCATATCAAAGACACAAAAACTTAAAAAATCGACAGGGGGAAACCGCATGCCCCTAGACCCACAAAGAAATGCCCGGCTTCAGGATAAAATAAATTTCCCAATTTCAGGTGTAAACGCGGATTTTTTTTTACTTCTGGCTAACACCCTGACTTGTGGTTAGAGCTGGACAACTGGATCATGCAGCTCAGTTGCATGGTCAGAGTGCTGGACCGAAAAAGAAGAAGAAAATTGGACTAGAAGAAAATTAATTTCTCCGAGAATTTTTTGTTTAATGTTTGCCTGACCACGGTGGGAATCAAACACCGCAAACATCACTTCTCTGAGCATGTTTTGATGTTAAAATTGACAAAAAAGCTGCTAATTTCAAAAAGGAAGTATTAGGCGTAACAAAAAAATACCTGTGGTTCCGGTTCCCGACCGACCCTATTTTTTCTGCCGACCCTACTATTTTTTCAACGCGATTGACTGTGCGACCCTATTTTCTCCGGGTGGTTGCGGGCTGCTGCCCAAATGGCGTCTGTTGTCACACTAATTATTGAAAAAACCATGAAAAAAATATTCAAAAAAAAAATTATTTCCGACCTACCGACCCAAATTTTTTTCGCGAGATGAAACCGGAACCAAAGGGGTTTTTTTTACGCCTTATCAACATTTCTTAAGGTAAGCGATATATTAAGCGAATACACTATTTTTATTCCAAATTCAGCGTTTTTCATAAGTCATCCACTCGTCCACGTGGATGAGTAGAAGAACTAGGCCACTTACCTCACCACCGGGTTTCGTAATGGCAAGCTTCTTCTCGTTCCGTACCATCCAATACGCAAAAAGAAACATAATCAATCCATGACCACAGTCCCCAAACATGACAGCAAACAGAAACGGAAATGTTATGATGGTAAAAAGAGCTGAAACAGATATAACAATAGTAACTGCTCAATATATCTTCATTTACCACACCGTAATATATTGGTAGATTTTAGAGCCTGTTCACATGAGCCTATCCTAGGCAGTTGCGATATATCGATATTTTCGATAAATATCCATATTTCAAAAATATCGATATTCGATATTCAATTTTTCGCATATCGAAAATATCGAAAGTTGTAACTAAATAACTTAATCTCAGATTATTCTGCAATTATTGTTTTCATCGGTGAAGTTTAGACAACGTGTGTACGGCGGCAATTGCGAATTTATGATAACAAGTGCGTGGGTAATTAAAATGAAAAGCTGAGTTGGAGACGTACCATGACGTTTCATGCACTTCTTTTTAACTGTTTGGGATGCGTATACATGCAAGTTGACTAAATTACTTTTTCTCATTTGCATAATTCGATATAGTCGATATTATCGATTTTTTTTCGATATCGATATATCGATTTTTTTCAATATCGCAACTGCCTAGCCTATCCTAAAACAGGGAGTTTCCTGTTGAGCTGGGGCCGGTTGTACGAAGGCCGGATAGCGCTATCCATCGGATAGTGATTTTTTTGTTAAATCAGTCGTTGATTGCATGGTATAATTCGTATTAAAGTTTAGTATTTATAACTTAAATGTTTAAAGGGCATATGACTCGAAAAGTGACGGTGTTATTTTTTAGTCTAATTGGAAAGATCATTGAAAACTGTAGAGTAACTTCTTTGACAGATTTTTGTTTTCTTGCTTCGTTTTGGAGATATTTCATATTGTATGATATGCAAAGGACCAACTTCTACGTCACATATGCATAATGATTTAGCTCTAAGAGCTGTATATCTTTCATGCGACTAAACGATATCATTAGAAAACCTATAGATGGGTGTTCTGTGGACAAATCTCGTGCTCATCATTCATTTTGTGCGAATTTATTTGATAGTGACAAAATTATATAACATTTTAAAGAAAGTTATTATGCATGTGTGACGTAGAAAGTTGGTCCCTTGCATATCATACAAAATGACATATCTCCAAAACGAAGCAAGAAAACAAAAATCTGGCAAAGAAGTTACCCTACAGTTTTCAATTATCTTTCAAATTAGATTAAAATATAACACAGTCAATTCTCGAGTCATATGCCCTTTAAATAGTGTTTAATTATTAAATGGTGTTTTAATAATCTGTTCTTGAAAAAGCAATATTAGTCTATTTCGGTATTATATATAAAACAAATAATGAATGTTTTTATTCGTGCAATGGTAAGAATGTTTTCATTCGGTGAAGGATGGAATGTTCCATTCAACTCGGCTGTCGCCTCGTTGAATGAATGAAACATTCCATCTTTCACCAAATGAAAATATTCTTACCATTGCACGAATAAAAACATTGATTATTCCTTTTATTTTTTGCCGTTTTGTACAAAAAATTGACAAATTTTTAAAAAAACAATGATCGTGTCGCCATGGCTAACATTCAGTGTTAGCGTAATTTAGAATACTTCATGTTAAAATAACGTTTAGGAAAATTATGGATAATAAAATAAATGGATAGGACTCTAGCTGACGTAAGCAAAAACAACCTAGTTGCAATCTGTGACGTCACACGTATTGCAAAGTTCTCGGCATTTTTGTTATTTCGCTATACTTTCCGTTTTAAAAGAGTAATATTGAAGCATAAACTGGTCTAATTGTTTTAAAAACATGCCTAAGCCAAGACAAAGTATTCAAGGTAAATGTTTTTCGTCTTTGTTTTGTATTTTTTTACATTTGTAGCTACGAAATTGGCGTCCCCAATTTTAACGAAGTTTGGGATGCATTTTTCACTGTTTAGTGCTTGAAATATTTGCTAAAATTGACTAGAAATACTTAGAGATTTCATCGTAGAATGGCGTAGTTACATTCATTTGCTTTTTGACTAAAATGTTTAGCTGTATTATTGCTAAACATGCCGTTTTTGAGAATTTGGTTTGCAACTAGGTTTCAACATCCAATCACGCCATCAGCTCATTGAAAACATTAGGTAGTTTCCTATCCATTTATTTCATTATCCATGGGAAAATAAAGGGGGGTGTTGTTGCATACATGTATTTCTAGTTGAACTGATGACTTGTTTAGCGTCACAAGGCTTGATGGCCGCGAGGTTTGCTGGTCTTAGTAGTCATTGCCCAGGAAAATTAAACAATTCAAAATGGCCACTATCGAAATTTTCGCGGGCGATGACTATTAAGACCAGCATTCCTCGCGGGCATCAAGCCTTGTGACGTCATTATGCATAAGGTCTATTGCGGCATATTGGCTTCACTTTTTTCATAGGCCCCGAATGATAGTGAGCACTGAGCTTTATATATATAGAGAGCTCACTATCTATACCATTGGATTGCATACCTGGATTGACCTCTTGGTAGTTGGCGACACCATAAGCATCTATTAAGTTCTGAAAGCCCTCAGTGAACTTATCATTACGATTAAATGTTGGTGGATCTTCTTTTGTTGTCATCCGGTTAAGAATTGACGGCACTGAAGCCCCACTTTCCTCCTACAGGAAAGATTAATAAGAGTTCGCCATCCCAATCTTGTAACGAGAATTGGGCAAAGTTTCAAAGTCCCTTAAGTACCTACGTGGCGACCTTAAGCCTGCTTTCAAGTTAAAACCAGAGTGCGATAATTCAAGATTTATAGTCGTACCTGACTGGTGCTACAAACGTAAGACTCAAGGTGTACTTACTCTTTGAAATGATGTACATAAAGTACAGGTTTCTGAAAGGTTTTCATTCAGTAACCTCAAACTACAAGTTGGAACGAGAAGGACGACAATTGCATACACAAGCACTAGAATAAACTCCAACATTCCCTATAGTCCCATCATTCCAGTCATGTTTCATGCCAAGACATGTCAGCCGTACCTTGGGCATGGTGAGATCATAATTATGGCACCAAAAAATGTAAGTACTGTACGCAGACACCAGGAGTCTCACGTACCTACGCAGCCGTTCCGCACGTTGTAACCAATAATTTATTGGCGTTGTAATGCCATTGTATGCAATAAAGTATTGGTTACAATGGATTTACAATTAATCCAAACGCTAATCCTAATTCAAACCCTAACCCCAACCCCCAACCCCTAACCCCACCTGCTAACCCCGCATCCTAACCACACACCCTAACCCCGGCCAGCTACCCCTCCGGGGAATTGAGTTGACTACTATTTAACTACAAAATAGTGGTTAAAAAGGAGTTTTACGCAACCCTTGATGTAATACAAGTATATCCCAGTTAAACTAGATTGCGAGTTGGACATTTCAAGGTCAAAATTAACAAAAATGTAATTGGTGAGTGTTCCAGCAGCTATTTTAAATAGTTTCATCTTCGTTTGCGCCGGGCTTGAAAGAATACGTACCGTTCCTCGTTTAAGAGCATCTTGTATTTGATCAAGATCAGAAACAGGACACCAACATTCAGCAATAAGACATTTGTGAGTCACATCCAGATTGAACATATTCATTGTGTGGTAGATCGCTTTAATTTTCCTCACCTGTATAAAACATACACACAATATATATTTGCACGAGAAACGACGCGCTTCCAGAAGTATTAAATATAGTCACGTTTACAGCAATTTACAATTACAGAATACTCACTGTAAACGATTACTGTCAAACACATGTCAAATAACAGATTTCTTTTTAAATACAGTGCATGCGTTATACTGTAAATTACGATTACAGTATACTCACTGTAAAAAATAACACTACATTATTCGGTAAAAACCAGATAACTTTAACAGTGAGATCATGGCGTTTCTTATTGTAGGTATAAGCGGTTACGTAATTCATCCTTGATGCGAGTTCGAATCCCGTTCGAGACGAATTTTTCGTTGACTCTGCAGTTTCTGCAGAATAATATGAAACTACGTTTTTCATACTCCGAGGATGGTTCTGAAATAGTGTTGAAACACTGCGCATCCTTCAAGACAAGCATCAAGTCGTCTCGGAAATATTTCGTTGGATAAGAGCATAGATATCTTATATACACGAGATAGCGCATCTCTTTTAGTAAAATTGAAGCCAAGAATATTCCAGCGGTTACCCCCATTTGAATAGATGGCGGCCATGTTGGAGTTTCCAACTCGCTAATAAACGCTCAAAAGACAACAATAACTTTTATCATTTGAATAGTTTGAAAATGTATTTGGAATAGGTGAAACTTAATGTTTAAGTTCCCTGTTTAAGAAATAGAAAACATACGAATCTTCTCATTTCATGGGAATATCCTGAGTCTGCAATCACGGCTTCAATTTTTGAATTGCAGAATAATTAGAGGCACTATCTAGTGTGTATAAGATATCTATGGATAAGAGTCGCAAGGGGTGTAAACACAATGGAATTCCCTATAGGTAAATTTGCAGGGGGTGCAAACACAATGGTGAAAACAGTAGATTCAAGATGGCGTCCTTAACCTTGGAAGGGTCTATAATTGCAGTTTATTCACCAAAACCAGAATCGCAATAAAAACATTTCATTGGCCATAATCTATACATGTACGTCGCAATACAAAGTATACAACCTACCTTGATAAACCAGTTATTGATGCTTTTAGCAACAGTACTTAACAATCTACGGCGATGTTCTTCTGTTTCATTCAACACCTAAACAAAGACGATTTACAGTACAAATTAAGAACCATAACCAAATCGTACAATTCCTAAAATCTTAACAGTTTCAGCGATCATCAGCGTAGGAATTGTTGTCAATTTTGTCGAACCAATACGATGAAAGCTGGTTTATATATGTACCCCCTTAGTTTTTTGACCAAAATCTGTGACAGCACATTCTCGTTAAAATTGAACGACACCATGATCGTGCAAACAAGCTTTGACCATAATCGTACGAGGAGGGGCGTGGCGGCTGCTGATGGGGGAAATATGTAATGTATTAATCTCTGTATTGAAATTCTGATAACACAGAACAGAAAAACAGGTTTTTTATGAACATAGCCCGAGTGTCCTATATACAAATTTTTTTGCCGTATGGATAATAAAGCATTAATGATGAACAGGGCCGCCGAGAGCTTGGCGGGGGCCCGGGGCAAAAAAATTTTTAGGGGCCCCTATTGCAAAAAAAATTTCCGGAAAAATTTTTTTCGGACAATTAATTCTTTTTAGGTGCGTTATAATTGCTTTTGTTGGACTTTTCCGCAATTTTCCATACCAAATTTCGGTTCATTGCCCCCAAAACACAAATATTTTGGCCCAAAAACAGAAATATTTCGCCCGAAAAAATGACTGGGGCCCATTAAATTTCTAACATTAAATTTCTAGGGGCCCCCAGAGCCTCGGGGCAATTTGCCCCCCCCCCCCTCTCGGCGGCCCTGATGATGAAGCAGGTATACAATGGCGCTGTGCGGTTCCAGAGATTTCATCTCGGTTCCGGTCTTTTGTGGGTGAAAGAACCTCGGTTCGGTGTCGGTATTTTTAAGAGAAGGACAATTCAAAACATTTGCTCAATAAAGTGTAATATAACATGAAAATAAACTACTTATAAGTAGTTAAATGAAACAAAATCATCTGCATTGCTATATGGGATAGATTTAATTGTAAAGAAAGAATGTCTTTGTTTGCATTTTGTTATTTTTCGGACACGAAGTAGCGACACGTCGGGAAGCGAAACTACCGGTTCTTTTGTGCATGCCCGGCGCCGACTTTCGGTTGCTAAAAAAGAACCGTATACCGGCCGAATCTTTGGGTTAACCGCACAGCTCTAGTATATATACGAGTTTTCTTACCGTTTGGAGATCTTCAATTCTAGTCATTACACCCACTGCCATCTCTCTTCTTTCTTGAATGGTATCAGGGCATGGGTACATAGTAGCACGAAACCTGGTGGGAAAAATGACAAGATGTAGACGCCTCCCCCTGGCTGGTAGGGAGACATGAAGCGACACTACCTCGATAGACTAAGGGGAGCTCCAAATACAAATGTTAAAACGTGCACTAGCTGTCTTAGTCTGCTCGCAGACTGCATCCCGCTCCACCACGGGGGGGAAGAGACAGTCTGTGCGCAGACTATAGCTGTCTTTAAAAGCTTTGAATTGAGAATTCTAGAGTTAAAGATGAACTCCAAAACCATTGTTGGAGAGACTGGAGCTAGCTATCATAAAAAATTGTCTAAAACTAAGGCCAAAATGGCCATTAAGCCCAGTTAGTTGAAATTGAAATTTAAGTTCAATATAATGCGAACTAAGCAAAGGAATGCTATAAATGACTAGGTGTAACCACAGGTCAAAAGTGCGACCTGGGGACATAAATCACACACAATACCTAAGGTTAACAACAAAAAAGCCTTCAACTGGAAGCATACAGTGCATGTTCTGTGCAAGAACAGACAATGTCTAATGTGACGGGTTCATCCTCAGATGCTAGCAACGACGGTATTGATTTATTTAAAATAAAAACGTCAACATTCAAAATCCAACAGTAACTTTAACAGTAACCATGTCAACTTAATACAGTAATTAATAAAGCGTCCTATCGCATAACGTTTTCAATAGCAGTTAGTAGATACTAACAATTGGTAATACATAAAACTTTAAAGCAATATAATGCAGCAATAAACCAAACGTTAAATACAATTAAGTAGTCTTACAAATATGGAATAAACTTTCATATTCCAATCTATCGTTTTCCATATATGGAAGTATGTTCCAAATATGGAATGAAAGCAGAGGTGAAATGGTGAATCTTGAGCCGGACTTAATCCTATCCAGCGGTATTCCTCAGATTAGGATGCTCCCAATGGTGCTCGCTCGCTCGTCGCAATAAATACTTTCATAATTATAAACATATGGAAATTTAAATTACCCATCACAAATCTTCTTTACTCTGGTCTTAAGTTGCTCTCCTTGAAAGAACACAATAAAAACACATTTGTGGATAAAGAAGCCAGTAACCGGATCTTCCATCGGTTGATCAATTTCTGCTTGCTTGAAGAAAACATTGCCACGACATGCTCTCCACAGGAGCCGTTCAAATGCAGGCACACGTTCCCGATCAATCACCCCAGTCACAAACCTAAGGTAAAATTAAATCTAGATTACTTGGAAATGCGGGTGGCATATGCAGTTAGTCCATCTCACCACTGAAAAAGGTAAGGCAAAAGTGTGGGTGGTTAGACCGATGACATTTCTGTAAGTCAAATCTTTCCCAGAATGCAGTAAATACCATTTAAGTGACAGTGATTACAAATTTTGCACAGTGATTACAAATTTTGCGCTGTGATTGCAAATTTTGCACTGTGATTACAAATTTTGCACAGTGATTACAAATTTTGCACTGTGATTACAAATTTTGCGCTGTGATTGCAAATTTTGCACTGTGATTACAAATTTTGCACTGTGATTACAAATTTTGCACTGTGATTACAAATTTTGCACTGTGATTACAAATTTTGCACTGTGATTACAAATTTTGCACTGTGATTACAAATTTTGCACTGTGATTGCAAATTTTGCACTGTGATTACAAATTTTGCACTGTGATTACAAATTTTGCACTGTGATTGCAAATTTTGCACTGTGATTACAAATTTTGCACTGTGATTACAAATTTTGCACTGTGATTGCAAATTTTGCACTGTGATTACAAATTTTGCACTGTGATTACAAATTTTGCACTGTGATTGCAAATTTTGCACTGTGATTACAAATTTTGCACTGTGATTACAAATTTTGCACTGTGATTGCAAATTTTGCACTGTGATTACAAATTTTGCACTGTGATTACAAATTTTGCACTGTGATTGCAAATTTTGCACTGTGATTACAAATTTTGCACTGTGATTACAAATTTTGCACTGTGATTGCAAATTTTGCACTGTGATTACAAATTTTGCACTGTGATTGCAAATTTTTGCACAGTACAAGATTACGGATTTTTGCAATGCATGCTGTTTGGGATTAATTGCCATAAAAACTGGCAATCAAATTCTTGAAACATTTTTATGTACATTACTATTATTAGGCAAAGTAGATTTAAAGAACTAACCCAAGTTGCGAGCCAGCTTGCTCCTGTTGCTCATCAATTAAATTTGCCAAGTCATCAGTTCTTCCTTCATGCTGCGGTTCATATATATGAAGTTCAGCCTGTATGCCATGATGGCATCATGCACACAATATCCATCACATTATCAATCATCATAATCAATTGTTATAATCAGTACTGTATGTCATTAATTGTTGATAATTATAAAGTAAACAAACAAAAAACACACAACATTTTTTATCAGATTTTACCTCTTCAAAGAACACTTGTGTTTTTCGCAGGATGTGTTTTAACTCGTTCAGCTCCAACAATCCCTTTTTCATTGCTTCAAAATTAACATTGCTGTCTTTCATCTCATTTTCAAGTTGTTCAAATTGAGCCTGAGAAATAAAATCACCAGAAGGAGGTACATCACCAAGGCACTAGTCTTGTTTCACAATTTCACATCATGATACAACGGGGGTTGAACTTAGTGGGCGCAAGATTTTTCATCTGGAGACCAGATATCCTTGTGGCGACTGAGAAAAAACTTAAAATCATAATAAAGTGATTCTTTTTAAAGCCTTAAAATATCTCATTCTGCTTTTCCACATAATTTGTCAACATATAAAACATTACATTGTATGTGAAAACATTACACTGTATGTGTAATGAAAACGTTTTCCTTAATAACTGAATAAAGATTACCACTACTACTAACCAGGGTGTTAGCCAGGATTTCAAAAGTGGCCGTCCAAAATAATTTTGTGGGCGTGACCGCAATTTTTTGTTGTTGTGGAATTGTGGTGTTCTATTCGTTGAACCTTTTTACTTTTAGTTTTAGATGCACATTTCAGTTATTAAATTAGTAAAAGCACACATATGGTATGAACCATATGATCACTACGATGTAGGCTACAGTATATGCTATAACGAAGAACACAATACAGCAGTGTAGTGTTTAGTTATCAATCGCCTATATTTTTTCCCTTTTTTTATGCGTTTGGCTCATTTTTTAGTCATCTTTACCGTAACTGTAAAGCAGTGTGACGCTCAAGTGATAAAGCGATTGCTGTTTTTTAAAACGGCGGTTTCAAATTATTCTCCTTCATACTTCATGCGAGAATCATCAACATGGTTACAAAAACATGGCGCGTTTGTCGGTACTTCAATTCAGGCATATTCAATGTGTTTTCGAGGGGGCAAGTATGAAAACATATACCATAAGTAAGGTAAACAGCAGATGACAACAATTCAAAGTATTCAAGAGATATCACAAAGCTTGTAAATTGCTATTTAAAGAACATATTCCCTTAGGCCGTCCATGTCCCTCCATTAAAATTTAGCCGTCCAAATTCGGAAGTGGCCGTCCATAGGACAGTCGGACGGCCGCCTGGCTAACACCCTGCAGTACTAACTGGGGTTTTTTATGAACAAATGTATAGTGATTGACCGATAATCGGTATCGGGCCGATTTTTGCCTTATCGGTAGACAATCGGAATCGGTAGAATTATCTTTATTTCCGATTGTCTAAAACCGATTGTGGAGAAAATACGCACTTTAAAAATTATATGCATTGCATGTTGATACACGTCATGTTGTGTTCTAACACAGTATGTTAAATTAATGTGTGAAGCGTGCCATTTATTAACAGGTTTAACGATTGGAAATTATCATTAAAAATCGACATGAATGACATCACCTTTACTCGGTCGACTGATATTATGACGTCATTATAAAATCGGCATTGGTACGATTGTGAGATGAATAATCGGTAATTGGTAACTTCCAGTTCCACGACAATTTACAGTAGTGTGACATAAATAATCGGTAATTTCCAATTGCTGCACAATCGATCAATCACTACACATGTAATTTTTTGTAATTAATTGAATATGTACTACTGTATATACAAAAATATATTCATGAATACACATTGATATAGTCAATAGGGCGACCTGATATTAAATTTGGCTAACCAGATCTTATTCACTTGTGCAACTAAAAAAGATTTTTAAATTTCAACCCCAGATGGTTACCATCTCATTTTGTCTCTATTTCATTTTATTTGATAAGACACACACAGAGTAAAGACATCCCTGTTTAATTAAATGAAATAAACAATATCATATCATAACACTATATACCTCAAGATCAATCATTTCCCTGGGATGGGGAGCAGGTGGACTTTCATGAAAGGTTCCAATGTGAATATCTGCCTTGACAATTTCCTTTTGAAGAAATCCTATACGAGGAAACAAAACAAATTTGCATGTAAGTGAAAATTAAGTGAAAAAGTAAACACACACAAGAGATTTCCAAAAATATTGAAATGAAAGAAAAATGCCTTGTAAAATTGACTGATAATTTATTCAAGTTAGGCCACTCCTCTCGTCCCCACCCGCATCCTTTTTCCCTGCCGCATGGAATTTTCATTCTCTTTTTTATGTTTTATATTCGAGCCTTTCAAAGAATTTCCACTTAGTATATTTTGGCCATTTTGCTTCTTTTCGGCATAGCTTGGTTGCAGTTTAGAAATTTGTCAACTCTCGCTTGCTGTTCAGTACTTCACGCCCGCTGTTCGCGCCATATTGAGTATTTTGGCGCCATATTGTTATTTTGGTGCCATGTTGCATTTGTAGTTGTTTGTCTATTTTAATTTATTTACGTTTTATGAGTAAACTTCAATATTTGTGTGTGTTTATAGGTTATTTGGTAAACTTTAAGAGCAATATTTGAAGGTTTAATTAACAAAAAAAAGCACCCGCTTTCTCCTTTTTTTTAAAAATTCGGACAAGAAACTACTAAATTTTTTTACTTGGCCTTATTCAGGGCTCTAAGTAAAGAAAAAATACGGCCTGCCAGTCTAAAAATATTTGGCAGGTGAAACAAATTTTAGCCTGCCATTTTTATTCATTGAACTGGCAGAATGGCAATGTCTCATAGGATCTAGTATATATGAGTTGTGGTAAGCAAATGAAATGAATATACTGTATCTATACAATTTCACCTGCATTTTTTTACTTGGCAGTTCAAATTTGTTTAAACCCATTAAGCCACAGAGCTTCCCCATTGACGAGTAAAATCGTCTGGCACACTGGGGTGTATTGCAGCTCAATGGGTTAACTAGAGACATTGTCAGACTTTTGGTTACCGGTAACCCATTTAGAGGTGAGCGGTGAGCCGATGTTTAAAAAAAGCTGATTACCGATACCGATTGTTAACAGCCGATATTTACCCACCATCGGCCGATTAATCGGCAAAACTGATGGTCATCTTAATTTTTGTACTAATGTATCCTCTCGTCAAAAGACTCATAACATGCAGAAACAGGAAGCGACATTTTTAACACTGATCCTGATATACACAGCGTGCTACTGACTGGTCAACGGAAGTTACGAAACACGTTTCCACTATCATTTCGATAATTGTTTCCATACCAAATATTTGAATTTTATTTTTTTTTATTACACCGCTGACCATACAAATGGTGGAAGACAATCGGCCGATGGCCAATGACAATCGGCCGATTGTGAAAAAACAAGCCGATTAATCGGTTTTGTCGATGATCGGCTCACCTCTAAGTCTAAACCCATTAAGCCGCAGAGCTTCCCCATTGACGAGTAAAATCGTCTGGCGTTAAGGCAGTTTTCCAGTCCTTGCACGAAGCTCCTCGCAGCTCGCTGCAAGTGCTTATATCTAAAATTAACTGTTTAGCATTGTGATTGGATGAAAGTGCTGATGCATCACTCGCAGCGAGCTGCGAGGAGCTTCTTCCGAGGACTGGAAATCCACCTTTAGACAAGTAAAAAAAATAAGTAGGGCGCACTGGGGCGCATTGCGGCTCAATAGGTTAACCCATTGAGCAGCAGCACTTTCCCCCTGACAAGTAAAATCATCTGGCGTTAGACAGAGTAAATAACCTGGCGTTAGACAGAGTAAAATAATAAAGTAGGGCATATATCAGGGTACATTGCCATTTAAAGGGTTAAAATGCCTGCCATTTCTAAAATATGGCCTGCTTTTGGCCAGTGGCAGCCGCTATTTCGACCTAAGGATGAGAAACAGATGTGGCAGCAAAAAATTGCTGCCATTGAGGCATTGGCAGCGGCAATTGCCATTTGCTGCCAGTAATTCTGACCAAAGGTTGCGTATCTTCCACATTTCAAACCGAACTTAATTAAAATCTAGGATCAGGATACTGGAAATTTCAAGCACTACTGGATCTATAAATGATAAGAATACAATGACAATGTATATGCAGGCTTGTCCTTGGCAGCATTCAGGCTTACTCAGTTTGCGTTCCATTTCATCACATCTTCGAACTTCATTCACAAACTTTCTTTGGAAAGCATTTACATCAGGATTCAACTAAATGAATGTGAATTGCAAATTTTAAAATGAAAACATCACTAAATCAAATACTTGAATTTAGTCAAACAGTAGTGTCCTCAATATACACAACTGCAATGCATTATGGTATGGTATGAAGACATACTAAATACTAATATAAGAAATGCAATTAGGGATGCAATTTGCTGACTTGTTTCCAATCACAGATTATTCAACATCGACCCAGAAAACATTTTCATCCCAAATATTTAACAATCTTGGATTCTGTGCTAACCCTCTTCACAGAACTTGTCAACACTCCCTTAACATTAAAATCTAGATAGTTTTCTACTCCAGAAGCTTAACTTTTGGTTTACACAATGACATGTACACAACTCTGTAATAATGCAAACCCAAGACAGCTCTAGAGACATCTGGCATACAAAGCATCTAACACATACAAACACAGGTTCAGGGTCTTAGCCAGGATTTGCAACTTGGGTGTCCAAATTTGAAATTTCATTTATGACACCCAATTTTTGCCATATGGAACCATGGCACCACTTCATGCACCAGTAATTCAATGTGATTATTTCCAAATGCTGGGAGTAATTGGTGACCGCACTTGAGAATCGCTCAAAAAACTAATAATATATTCAATTATTCAGACTATGTGACTACTCACTACACTGACTACAGTAGTACAGTTTAAGTCAATCTGCCAATATATTAATCTTATGACTGATATTATGTTGTCACTTTCATGCTATAAATACAGTACTTGTAGCTTTGATAAGCTTTATAGTGCAGGCCTCGAATTTCCCTGAAATCAACCGACGGCAATGGCGTTAAAAATTGCCGTAGAACATAACAGCTGTCTTCGGCAATTTTGGCAGTTTCCACGGCATTTTTCAAATTACTGTAATAAAACTTTAATTTTATTGTTACTTTGGATTTTTGACAAGCTAAAATCATGTCTACCTATTTCTCATTTAGTGTTTTTTTTTCGAAGAAAACTGAGACTAAAATAGTGATTTACGCATGATTTGATCAACATCTGAATTCAAATATCAAAGTAGTAATGCACAGTGAATAGTATAAAAATTGCACTATATGGAAAAAATTGCCGTCGTTGCCGCAATGATCCACGGCACTTTGCTCTCCCTCTACGGCAATTGCCGCGATTGCCGCAATAAAAGTTGAGCCGATATAGTGTGAGTGAAGAACACAACCAAAAAAAAACAAAAAGCAACTAATTATCTTATATAGTTATATTCTACAGTTTTTTGCAGCTAGGCCAGGAATCTTTGGTTTGTCAGCTTGCAAGTGAGCCATGTTTATGTTTACCATCCAAAAGCAGTCTTTTTTAGAAGGCTGTCCAAATTTGAAAATGGCTGTTCAAAAGACGGCTGGACGGTAGGCTGGCTAAGACCCTGCACAGGTTCCCAGTAGAAACCTGTACCCGGTGAATTTCACCACATATACAGTAGCATAGACAACTGCCGGTTGTTTCTTGAAAAATCAACCAAAATCTTTCCTCCTTACCACGGAAATGTCAAGGGAAAGGTTTCTTGCTTTTAAAATATAAATTTTAAACGATAATCTTTGTTAAATGTTTGGATAGTATATAACAAAACGTGAGCTCCTTTCAGACGAAAATTATCATGATCATAAACTAAGATGAGGTCACCATCAAAGGCAAGCACTTTGTGTTACTTCATAAAATTACTTCATATGGTATAGCTAAATGATGACGCAAAAATTAATTAGAATGATATAATGTAATTGTCTGCTAGAGTCTAACATCCTATCAGTAGAACTGTGTATTCATTCATGACACAAATAGCACAAATAGTAAGTTATAAGTAGGAAAAAAATACAAAATGCAAATACGCTATATTAGATTATCAAAAATTGATTTGAAAAGGTCATTATAATTCATTTAATTCTGTTATAAATATTATAATTCAAACTCAGACGACACAAAAAACATAACATGTAAAACAAAATCAAGTGACCCACGTTCTGAAAGATTTGCATATCATAGAGTCTTAAGGCAATTTTCCATTGCAGTCGCTTTGCCCGAACAAGCGGAGTGAACAGTACTCAACTTTCTCTGTAATTGTCTATCCTGTGCATTTTTTGTCCACCTGAATGCTCGCGGACACAGCGTGAAAGTAGACTGACTTGTCATGTGATTAAAATTGGTCGCTCTGCCCGTGCGGGCAAAGTGACCGCAATGGAACCTTTAAACGGACACCGCAGACACAGAAATGTTGAAAATTTTGCGCACAAGCCCCCTAAAAATTTTGTGAAGTGTCTGCCACTGATTGAGAACCTGCAAACATGATTGTATTTGATCAAGATTTCGTGAAAGGTAGTTGAAAACTGCGGCCAGATACATCACTGCTCAGACGTAACCTAGGCTTTCCCCTTCTCGGCCTTCTGGCTCAGGTTTTTATTGAGAATGTGAAAGTAATGTTCATGTTTCACCAGTTGGTTTCACTAGCATATGAATATCCAGGGCATATAAAAAGGTATTATTTTAAAGATACTTACGTCCTTGAACTGTACCAAACCCTAAACATAAAAAGCAAATGGATATTTTATTAAAATATCAAAAATATTATCAAACATGGCGGGCAACTGGTGATGCGAAACTTTATATTTGCGATACAAAATTCTTACCAATTCTCCAAGGGCGCTCACACAAGCATACGCTGCTTCAGATTGAAGAAATAACTGAGCCAGTGTCATCTCCTCTGATCGAAATAAGGAAATATCCTTTTTAATAATTTCCATCCCCATATTTTAGCGATTTTTTTACACAAATTTTTTCCCTTCTTCTTCGGTTTCCTTCAGATGTCCAAATCTGGTCACGTGAAAGAACCGGAAATTCGACAATCGAGATGAGCGGAAAACGTATACACGGACAAGAGGACAACTAAAACGTGGACATAGGAAGTGCGGATGTGGAACTCAGAGATCCCGAGGATAGTGCAAAGTTGATATGACAAATGATAATGAAGACTTATGTTGATTCGCATAATGATTAATGTATGAACTGATAGGATTGATGCATCTATAAGGAAGTTGTTTGGCTTTGTTTTTATGTATAACAAGCCACGACAGTAAATTTTGTTGTTTTCGCATGGATAGTTTCCATGGCTTAATTTCTCGAATGGTGGCTTTAGTCCAGATCTTTTTTCTTTGCTTTTAATTCAATTTTCTACCCATTTTTCGTTGTACATTTAATACAAAACAAAATAAACCGCCTTCGAAAATCGAAATGAAACAAAAATGAACAGCTTGCAAGAAATTGTTGTCACCTGACATTCGAGATGAGAACACAGAACGAGTTCAAGTCCACTGCGTGCTGGCCACGTGCTCCAGAAGTTGCTGTCTAATGACTTTACAGTAAAATAATATGCAAACAGAACTATGACCGACATCTAAATATTTCTCACTATTGCGGTGCCCATGCCATTCATTTTGGGCACCGCATTATATTCTGCCTGTGAGTTTGTTTGTCCGTTTGTTTGTCAGTTTGTCCGTCGTTTGTTAGTGTGTTCGCATCAATACGTTTCCTTAATCGCCTACTAAAAATTCCTTGCACGTGCTCAGAATTTATTAATTGTTATTAATCGTGTGCTCTCAAGATCGACTACTTGCTAAGCTTTATCCAGGGACGCCGGAACTGGGGGGGCAGGGGGGGCGGCTGCCCCCCTTGCCTTTTGCTAGGGGGGGCAGGGGGGGCAGAAGTGCCCTTTTAGTTGTAAAATAATACGTGATAAACAGGGGCCGCGGAACCGGGGGGCAATGGGGGCATATGCCCCCCCCCCACTTTTTTTAAAAGTGAAAAAAGTGTCCTTTTTTCTGGGCTAAAGTGCCCCATTTACAGAACGAAAAAAGTATTCCCCGAATAAAAGCCTTCTTTTGCTGGAAAGAAAGTGCCCTTTTTGCAGAGTAAAGGCTCTATAAAGGCCATTTCCAACGTTATAGAGACTCCATATTTTCAAAAATTTTCGTCCGGCTCGTGAACGACATAAAATCGTTTGATTTTGATCATATACAAAAGTGCCCCTTTTGGCCAATGCCCTCCCCCCACTTTTGAAATGCTTCCGCGGCCACTGGTGATAAATCACATTTCCAACGATGCTTTTTGTAGGAAAATCACGAGATTCAGGTAATTTAATTTATAGTTTATACTGTTTATAAAAATTTTGGGAAATTTTTGTAATTTAGAAAAATATTTTGAAGAAATGGCGAAAATTTAAGATATCCGGAAAAATTTTTGGCTTCACGGAAAATTTTCGTATGTCCGGAAAAAATTTTTGACCCCTAAAATGGTACACTGACCGTGGTACACTGACTTGCAGTGAAAAAAAAATTTCAGTAAAGGTGCCCTTGGTGTGCGTCCGCCCCCCTTTGCCCTATTATCGTTCCGGCGTCCCTGGCTTTTATCTCTGGTTTTATGCGTCAAACAAGGACAAAAATACTACTGTTCGAATTAGCGTGAAAACTTGTATTTACGGATGGAAAATTGATTTCAAGATTGATTTCTATTCTTACGATTTATGGCCTTTGAAAGACAAGCCGCTCAAAATAATCCTTCACGTTTTCCGAATTCCTTTTTTCGAGGAAAGTTTTCTTTCGAATTAATCTCAGATCGACTCTCACGATTGACTTTTTGCTGCGCCTTGTCTTTGGTTTTATGCGCCCAATAAGGACAAAAATACCACCGTTCGGTTTAGCGTAAGAAATTATACTCACAATTTATGGTCTTTGAAATACAAACGAAATTGTATTGTTCACAAACGTCAAATCGCTCAAAATGATTAAACTAATTAAAAATGCAATACTGCACATTTGACCTTGATAACTTTCGTATTGGTAGTTTTCTCTTTTTCGTAGTTTGTTAGTAGTTTGAGCCCAAAATATTATATTTTGAAGGTTTTAATGTGCAGTTTTAATAAGCGAAATTGTATATTTGTATTGTTGACAAATCGCTCAAAATTATGAAACTAATTAAAAATGCAGTCCGTTTGATCCTTGATAACTTCGGAATTGTTGGTTTTCTCGTTTTCGGCCGTGTGCCAGTGGATTCGTCTAACTTTTCTCCTCATTTTGATAGTATTTTGAGCTCAAAATATTTTATTTTGAAGGCCTTAAAACGCAGTTTTGATCCTAATATACGGACCAACTGGCGGCCGACAGGAAAATGTGTATAGCGTGCTAAATATAACTTTACTTGTGCATGTAGGCGGAAACGCCGAAAGTTTTATTTGTAGGCGGGCACCGCATTCTACTTTAGTATTGTGTCTGGTTAAATATAATATTTTACAGTTTATCAATGAAATGCCATAACTGCATAAGTGAAAAATATTAATAGTTTGACAAAAGCTTGGAATGACTGATTATATATAAAACGTCTCGGAAACAATACGAACTGACATTACTGACTACAGATTAATACACTGAGTACAGAAATTTCTGCTATTAAAAATAATATACTTCACCACAAACACTAGATCATTAATATAGACATTTATAGTTCACTGGGCGTCGCCACTACAATATAAATACGCTCGACCTCGGCATGTTGCCTCTGGAGCAAAATTTCAATTTTATTTTATTATTTACTATTTATTGGGCCATATAAACCTAGTTAATAATAATACAAGAACAAGCTAGCTGATATAAATCAGCTGCTGACTTATAATTTTATATCAAAACTATCCACTGGCACTTATTCATGTATACATCGCTCCGTATCTTTGATAGATAAAACACTTTGCTATAATACTATCAACCTCAGATGTAATACACTCTAGTCTACACGATTTCAGCATTTCACACCGCCGCTCAATAGTCACCCCTCGTCCATGTCTACCATTGTAAAATAATAACATATGAAAGCACGTGTATTATGCACGCGTATTTATGTTGCAGGGGGGCAGATCATATAATAACAAGTGCTTGAAATGCAACAGTAATATTGTTATAACTTCTCTAAATGTCGGATAAAGAAGTATGAACATGTACCATCATGAATATAAATATAGATTGTAATAATCAACAAACAGCTATGAACGATTAGTTGGCCGAACGTCGCGAAGCTCTAGAAAACGCGGCAGGTACAAAACG